AGCGCGCCGCCCTGCTTTGCTTCGCGGAGCGTCGACGCGGCGGCGACGAAGGCGAAGTCGTCGTCATCTGCGACAGCGATGACGACGACGACGATGCGCCGCCACCAGTCCGCCATGGCGACGCTGGGCAGGGGTCCAGCGGGGGCGTCCGTGTCAAGGAGGAGAAGGCCGCCGCCGACGACGGCGGCGACTTCAGCCAGTTTTTCCTTTAGATTAGTTTATGTATATGTGCTATGTAATGAAAATCCGCGAACTTCGCCGAAATGTGCCGAAATTTATCGTGTTTGGCCGAATTTTATCGTGTTTAAGCCGAACTTCGCCGAACTTCTTTTATTTTAAAATGTGCCTGGGGGCGGCCCTGGGGCCGGCGGCTGGGGACCAACTCGCCCCCAGGCCAAATTTTTACGCCGGCTCACCCCCAAGCGGCGATTTTAGGCGCCCCCTGGGGGGCCAACGGCTAGAGATGCCCTAAGACCCTCAATCTATTTACGCAAAAATGAAGCCATGCCAACGCTCATCCTACTGACTGAAATGGATGATGTATCGCACAGGATTCATCAACATATTAGCAATGTGCCCGTGCGTTGCAACGGATTCAAAGTAGAATAATACTTGTTCATAAACTTGAAAGAAAACACTCTTGTTTTGATATACATATACCACTAAAAATATATTATGTTCACTCAAAATATATTTCTCAAGCTGTTTTGATGAGGTGTGATTGCTTTCAAGATAATAAGGGGTTTTCTGCAAATTGGAGCAGAGAAGTGGGCTATTGTTGTAAAAATGCCACAACTTACCTCACAGTCGTTAGATGCAGATTTAATGGTCATAAATAACGGATGTCAGACACATTATCATCGCCAACTGAATCTTTTATAAGAGTAGAGATTTTTGGCCTCTGATGAGCTACCAAAGTTTGTTGGATTCCAGCGCAGTATCTTGTTACTTTCCTTAACCGTAGGACGGTAGGAGACCGTTTGGCCCAATGCCTTCACTCTTTTTCGAGGATGCCACGCTACCATTTCTGTACGCCAATAAGTAAATAAGGGCATGTACAATGGTTGATAAGATAGTTTTATCTTAAATTTTGCATGTAAATTAGAGATGATAAAAAAACATGTCTACAATGGCTCATCTCTTAGCCTTATCTTCAATAATTAGTTGTTTCTAAAAACATGTTGAGACAAATTGTGCTAAGAGATCATCTCTTGTCTTCTCTTAAATAAGATAAGGCAAGCCTTTTCTTATGATTTCTCTCTCCTCCACCTCATCATTTATCCTATGTGGCACTGTTAAGATAAACCCGTTGTACATGTCCTAAATAAATTGCCGTAACTTTCTTTCTTTCATAAAATAATACTCCCTCCGTTCCAAAATATAGCGCGTCCTCGGTTTTCGTGCTTCAACTTTGACCATTAATTTAATCAACAAGACCGACTGCGGCAGGCGAAAAAATTATACCAATGAATTCGTATTCAAAAAAAGTTTTTAATTATATAATTTTTGATCCCGCCGCAGTCGGTCTCGTGGGTTAAATTTATGGTCAAAGTTGAACCTCGAAAAGCGTGGGCGCGCTATATTTTGGAACGGAGGGAGTACAGTACAAGGGGATCCCCAACGCACGCTTGAGCTCGTAAGCAGACAAAAGAGGTCTGCAGTAAGAAATGACCGGTGGCTGGCGCGTCGCGCGTGAGCAGTAGCAAAAGAACAAAGAAGAAATCGCCGTGTGGAGGAACCCAGCCGTTGACGAAACCGAGTACCCCACGCCTTCCTTCCTCGGCGCCCTTTCCTTCACCGCTAATGCACCGCCACTCCGCCCAAGAGGCACAGGCGATGGGTAGCAACGGAGGCGGCGCCGCCGCCAAGCCGCCGGCGTGGGAGTTCCACGCCACGGGGCCTCGCAACCTCTCCAGCCCCGGCCGCTCTGCCTGGTTCGCTCCCACTCCCATTCCCCTCCCCCCCTAGAACAACGCATGGCACGATAGCGCGTACTGTCCGCCGCCGCCGCGTGCTGTTGGTAACAATCTGTGTGCGGGGTATTCCGAATCTGAACTTTGTCGTCTTGATTTACAAGTCTAGGTTTAGGGATCCTTAGCGTAGTCTGTCTGAGCACGCCGTCAAAGCCACCCCTCGTCGTCTCCGGTTTGCTGAAATGCCACCTGGATTCCGGAAGAATTCTAGGTCTATGACCAACAGTCTGCCTGTTTCTCGCCTCACCCTCTGTCCAAGCTGAGTCTACTGGGTTGCAAAAGATGTTTCAAATGACTCTGGTTGGCATCCATATGGGTAATGGGGCGTAAAGAGTTTTCACAACAAACTAGTTGGGCCGATTGGCCAATGGGGAAGCAATCCTATAGAACTCATGCCCTATGAGTGTGAGATTGGATCCTGTTCAAAGAATTACATGTGGAAGCAGTACCTATTGTTGGTGATAAGGGACAGTGTACTTGATCAAAATAGATGTGACATGTTATACTGCTCAGAATAGGGGCCCAACCACACATTTTCACAGGACCCAAGCCCTATAGGATTTCTTTTGTGCCAGTGTATGTTGTCAGTGTCGATGTTTTACTCTAAATTTTCAACATCTAAGTGTCATGAGTGTAGAAAGCATGTTTTTCTCGCTGGTCCAAGTTGCGAACACGTTGACTGAAGGAGAATCAGTATTGATGCATTATGTAACTTTTAAGTTTTTGCCACGTTGGACTTTATTAGTTGTATGACAGGGAATTGTGTCATGAGCTTTTAAGGCCTTAGTATAATTTGTTAAGAAAAAAGATTAGTAAATAAAAGGATGGCATGGTTCTTGCTCTCTATATAATTTGTAGTAGATGTTATGTAAATAGATGCTGTTGAAATGTAGCTAAATTTAGTGTTTAATCTAAGAAATGTTAGGCTTCCGATATCTTGCTCTGCTTGTATTTTTGGTCACTTCAGCCATTGCTGGAGGCCATGCCTTTCTATAACAAGACTAGTGATGTGTGTGGTACTGATGAACAAATATAATGACTCCGCAGGAAAAATCCCAACTACAGAAGAATTGCAATATCATGTTTAGTGCAGGCCGCGTATGTACTGGAGTTTGACAGGCAAGAGAACAGAACTGGTGAAACTGCCATTGCTCCTAACTGGTGGAAGCCATTTAAGTACAAGCTGGTGCGCCTTCTAATTGATTCCAGAGACGGATCCATATATGGGGCACTTCTAGAATGGGACCAGGTTGCTGCATATCAGACTGGATAATGCGGAGACCTGATGGCGCTCCAAAGGCTGTCCTGGCACTGAGGGGAACTGTCCTGAAGCAGTCGACCGTTGCGAGAGACTTGGAGGATGACCTCAGGTACTTTGCCCAGGAGAGCTTGAGGGGTTCTGTCAGGTTCGCTGGAACACTGGAGGTTTTCAAGTCGGCAATCGATAAGCATGGAAGCAACAATGTGTGCGTTGCAGGGCATTCCCTAGGGGCAGGATATGCTATGCAGGTTGGTAAGACTTTGGCGAAGGACGGAGTCTTCGTAGAATGCCATTTGTTTAACCCACCATCAGTGTCACTCGGCCTGGGCCTGAGGAAGCTTCAGGATAAAGTCGACAAGGTCTTGAAGCGATACATCAGCGGCAGCTCTTCGAATGCCGTTGAAAGTTCTCACCCGGGACAGGAGGAAACTGTTTCTGAAATTGGAGAAGAAAATCTGATCAAGGAGGTGAAGAGATGGGTGCCGAACCTGTACATCAACAACAGCGACTACATTTGCTGCTTCTATGTTGACCGTAGTGGCGTACCAACTGTTACTGCCGAGAAGCGCGGCGATGGTCACCCCGTGGCGCGTGCCAAGGTTTTTGTGATTGCGAAAGGGCCACAGAAGTTTCTAAAAGCTCATGGGCTGCAGCAATGGTGGATGGATGATTCCGAGCTCCATCTGGCTGTGAATGAGAGCAAGCTCATGTATAAGCACCTCAAGTCCCTGTATGTGAAAGAAACGTAGCGAAACCAATGTCATTGTGATCTCTGTCTCCTGTTCTCTCCTGTTCTGTAGTCAAGTATGCTTTTAAAAGCTTTCATGAAGCTATCCAGTTCCTGCAAACCTTTTAGTCAGTCGACGCTTATCAAAAGTAACTGTCAGTATGAAATGTGAGTACTACATTATATACTACTCCCTCTGTCCCACAATATAAGATCGGTTTTCAAGCTAACATAGCTTTAAAAATGATCTTATATTATAGGACGGAGGGAGTACCTTCAACTGAAGGATCAGGCGTTCTACTGTTGTGTTGCTTTGCCTCTGGCAAGACATGCAAGTTCTCTTTATCCTTGAACCAGAAAGACATATGATATATTCAGAACCATAATACAAGGAAGCGTAGAATGTACTTCCTCCGTTCACAAATTATAAGATGTTCTAACTTTTTTTCTGAATCAGATGTATACAGACCCGTTTTAGTGTGTTTGTTCACTCATTTCAGTTCGCATGTAGTTCATATTGAAATATCCTGAGCATCTTATATACGTGAATGGAGGGAGTAGAACCGTAAGAACTGTGATTTGTGGCATCACATTTCAACACTTGAATAATGCCAAATGCAGATGTACACGTGCGTAGAATGGCGTTGAGCAGAGAGCAACCAAAAAAGGAAGTTACTCAGAATATCACAATGGTGGTTCCTTTGGCGAATTGCCCTGCTGGCTGAACCACAGAACCTGGGGCTTATTATTCAGAAGATAAGTGCAGTAAAAGGAAGCCATTGCTAGTACAGTACAAGGAAGCCATTGCTCGCCAAGCGAAGCTTACGTCATTTGTTTTCAAAATCAAGGTTATTTGAGCATTCACAAGGCAAGGTAGTCTCAATCTGATTTATTTGTGACCATAACAAGGACTTAGTTCTCCTTGTCATACATTGAATATTCAAAGTTAATAATCAAATACAGTGCAGAAGACGCGACATGACATCTTTCTTCATCCATGAAATGTACAATATGTACAGTGACACAATGTAGACTGACATCAATAAACGTGAGCTCCAGCAGTTGCCCCGATGATGACGGCAATTGTAGCAAGGACAGCCTGTTACAGCAAATGGTTCTCATTAGAATCATCAGAATTTGAAAAATAAAGGTGGCATGTCACTGCCAGAAAAGTGGTCTACTCTGGACTTCACCAGAAGATTTCTACATGAAGCCTTTACATAACATAAAACTATACTAACTAGTATATGACACTACCATCATGCATGTTGTTATCAAGTGTGCTTACTCTCTGGATCAGTCTTTGTTATTGTAATAACACAGATATACCCTAGCTGCATATATGTCAAAATTTAATGCATTCTTTGATGAGGGTGCCCATGTTCTCTGAATCACTCCATAGATATGCTTCAGCTACTTAAGTGTCCAAAAGTTCATGCACAACTTAAAATGATATGTTGTGCAACTGCTGAAGTATGCCGAAACACCCACCTAATTAGATACCCTATATGTGACTGGATTAGCTATACTTTATCATTTGAATCTGATATTTAAATACTTCTGAATAATCAGATCCAACTTCATTGTACCAAACTAATTATTCTCATTAGCCTTTTCTGTTTGAGCTAACATGAACATCAATATGATTCTTTATTCACTAAGTGCTCCTGATACATGATCCAAACTTACACATGAAGAAGTTCATAAATCATGCAAGAATAATAGTGACATAATAGGCAATATGTTATGCTCAACAATTCTTGGTTTTCTGGTATAATATTGTTTCTGCAAACAGATAAATGAGGTACAAAGAAGACAAACATGCAGAAATTTCATATATAATCCTGAGCTCCATATGTTTGGACCATTGTTAAGAACCACATCAGCATGTCATAAAAACATTTCAAAACGCAGAAACAACAACACGAAAATAGCACCTTCTCATAGCCTTTACATTCCTAGATACTGACAATCATAGCACAAGTTCAGTGACACATGGTATAGAAAGCACAAGCGCCATATCAGCAATTGGAACAAGCAAGGCTTGTTGTTAACTCAACACTAAATTCTTTACTCACCGCTATTGTGCATGCCACATATCCTGGTTTCTCCCTGTAATCCACTCTGGAACACCACAACAGAAATGCTCCGACATACCAGGGGATGGCACCAAGAAAGAAACCGAGTATGAATCTTCAGAACAAGAAATTTGTCGTTAGGATTATTTAGATATAGCTAAAGCAACAGCATAGTTCACAATAATCTATGTCAGAGTAATTATCCAGGTACAATGCGGCTGTACATGAAACTAAGATCAGAAGGCAAAAGTTAAAACAATGATCACTTACAGAAACCAGCCCATACCAATACCGCAGCATGGAAGGCGGTCATGTCTATGTCCACGGGCACCAGCTTCGTAATCTTGAGCTGAAAACAGAAATAGAAAATTGAGTGTGCACGTAAAATTCTTATTATAAACATCAAGTGAAATAACTAGGAAAAATTACGATAGTCATATTCAGCCAACGTACGCATGGGGACTCCCTAAAATCATCAAGGACAAAGACAAGAACATGACTAGTAGACTGCTACATCTGTTACTTCTGTATATTTGCCAAATGGTCAATGGAATCAGAAGGGCAGAACTATCTTGTATCAGATTTTCAGATCTATCAAACATTCAAACCCCATGTTGTGCTAAGAAATGCATCGATGCTAACCGGGGGAAGCTGATGAGACAATTGATCTCCATGCCATGCTAAGAAATGCAAATGTGCTAGCTTTACCACCACTTATTACACAATCTATAGTCAGGGTGGTTCAGTCATAGTTAATCCTTTGTTTTCAGATTTGATATAGAGCAACTGGGTAGAAATCATCTGGTAATGAAACAACTTGCATACGACCGAAGGACATCGCCTACATCAAACAGGACAGCACAATACATGCCAATTTGGATCAAGACATCAAGAAACTGAAAGAAACATTGCAGGGCTGTAACAGGAATTCTGATTCCATCAGAGTTTTGACACCAAGAAACGAAACAGAATTAGATCAAACATCCCAAAATTGTGACCCCGACTGCATCCTGCCAGCGATCTCGCGGGGAGAATTCCGCCTTTGATCCCGCCGGTCCCACGCCCAAGTCCGATCGGCATTCAACGACCCGCGTCGGATCAACTAAATCCCGGGGGAATCGATCCCGATCGCAACACCAAAATTCTACTACCTCGCCCCGACATCTCCCTCCTCCGCGCCTCCCTCCCCGAGAGAACCGCGGATTAGAAGCAAGGATCGGGACATTTACCGTTCCCGGCCTGGTACCCGCCGCGGTGGCGCGAGTTGGGCTCTCGCTGGCCGTGGAGGCCGGGCGGCGGGGCGGGCTGCGGGTACCCGACGGGCGGGCGCGGGGGCGGGTAGCTGGGCGGACCGTGGAACGTCCCGTACTCCCCTACGCCGCCGCCGGCCGCGGCGGCAGCCTTGGCCTTCGCAACCTCGTCCCCGCTCATCTCTCCTCCTGCCTCGCCTCACTCCGCTCGTAACTGCTCACTCCGCTCGTATCAACAATTGTTATGGGTCAAGGAGAAGAAGGAAGATTGGCGCGCTGTGGTCCGTCTGATGGAAACGTGGACGCGTGTGATCGACGGAGAGAAAATATTGGTTTCGGTTTCTCGCGACAAGGAACAGTGCGTCGCTTGATCCACGGTCGATCCGGAGCTTAATCCATGAAACTCGTGCTTAGCTACGTAATCGTGGATATTTGATGCTGGGAGCCTGCGACCACACCATCAAGAAGTTTTCGGTGGGAGGAGACGTTCCTGTCGAAAATGAGGCGTTTATAGTGACATCGTAAATCTCAAGATGATATGCCGGCTCAGTGTATCAAAAGTGTTCATAGAGATAGGGTGTGCGTGTGTGCATTCACAGATGTATACGCGTAAGTATGAGCACTTGCGTCTGTACTGTGTTAAAAAAATTAAGGGTTCGAATAACTGCCACACATGTGGCATGGACGGGAACCCGCCCGCACGCCTCGTGTGGCATGGACGAGAACCGGCCCGCACGACCACGTTCGCGCGCACAAAAACACGGCCCGCACGTCCGGTGTGTGGCAACCCCGACCGCATTGCCCCGTCCAGGCCAGACGACCCGCTGCCCACACGACCCAGCCGTTTTCGGCCTCCGATCCATCCCCTCTCTCGTCTGCCGCCATCGCCCCCACCTCTCGAACCCCGACCTCCGTCGTCGGCCATCTGTGGTTGCCATGGCAACCAGGGCAGATCCGTAGGGCGCTCCCACCGCAAACCACACCCCAACCCTCCCCACCCCCAGCCCCCCACTCCAACCCAGCCCTCCAGAGACGATCATCTAAAAGCAGGTGAAATCTCCCGATCTCATCCTTCTCATTCTTAAGGCTGAAAATCTCCCGATCTTGTACTGGGTCCATGCTATAGGGGTAGAACACTGCATGGTTCAGTGTATATTCGCAATTGCCATGCAGAATACACTAGATCTGCCATGTACTACGTTTGAGATTAACTTAAGTTCATAGTTTAATTGACGCAAGTAGTTGGGTATGAAATGGATGAGTAGGAATCCCTAAAAAGGGCAGGAAGGACAATTTTTGGAATGAAGGGGGTGGGAAAAATTAATTGCCACTTGTGTATAACGACAGTTGCCACCTTTCATTGTCAGTAGCTGCCACCTATTTTGACCTGTTGCTTGACATCCCTATCTTCTATGTGCAAGCAGCAGAAGAATACAATTCTTGTGGATTGTTGATGCCTTCTTGTTCATCCAGTGATTGAGAACACATCGAAAAGAAGCGAGACACGGAAAGAATGAATCACGAAGATGGCGCTGATGCTTGGGGTTCTCAAAGGCCAGAAACGCCCCCTTGGCATGCATCAGAGTACAGCCAACTCATCTCTGCAGGGCCGTTGCTGCCACTACTAAAACAGTATGCAAGCGTAGGTATGATGCGTGATAACAAAAGAGGAGAACAGTTGCCATCTTCGCAATGATGAAGATGACATTCTACTTATGTCATACACTATCATTTTTTCGCAGGTTCTTATGACCAAAACACTCTTAGGGGGGCCCCGTGGCAAGTTCAGTCACAAGGCGCTAACACTGACAAATGTACGGACAACCAACTTCAACTAGCTAGTATGGCTAATCAAGGTAATGCAAAACGAAAAAAGAGCACATACTGCTGTGGACATGAAAAATGAACATGCAAAAAAATTGGCAAAAGGACTCACGAGTTATGACGGGTGAAAATGCAGAGCCTTCATGCAGCACGTGGCATCAGGCAGCACCCATGTACCTGCCATCGACATCATACACAGGCGAGTCCATAAAAAAAGTGAAGTTGCGGATGCTCAATTAGCAGAAGAAGCATAGTTGACAACTACAATTGCCATGACTGGACATCTACAATTGCCATGAATTAAAAACTACACTTGTCATCCCTGGACACCTGCAGTTGCCATGCCAGTGCAACTACATTTGCCATGCCATGGCAAGTTGCCATGAAGGAACAACTGCGGTTGCCATACCGATGCAACTACAGTTGCCATGCCAGTAAAACTGCAGTTGCCACATCAGGGGCAACTGCAGTTGCCGTGCTAGCACAAACTGTATTTGCCATGAATTGACCAACCACTACTATGCTTACAGGTTATTACGCTGGTGGTAACCCGGAAAACGTCTCGTGGCAAGCTTCACAAATTGCAGGTGGAGCACGTCATTATGGTGTCACAGACCACACAAGATGGTCAAATGCAGCACAACAAGATAAGGAAAAAACTGAATCACAAAAAATAGCGCTACATTTGTTATTTGTAGTTATTTGTAGGCAAAACAATAGTTGTCATGTTTGTTGAACACTAGCTGCCATGACTGGACAGCTACAGCTGCCATACATGTCCACGCACAGACTCACGGCTTGCTGTTTGAAATGATGTCACGCCAAATCACTCGAAGATGGTGTGATCCATTGCGATACACATGTTATCCAAACAAAAATCTTACTCTCGTACCTGTTTTTTCTATTACAGGGCCTACAACTACACTGAACAGCGGCGCGGGGACATCTACTGCGGGGAGCTCTGAGCGCACGGAAGACGCGTTCCACCAGCCAGCAGACAATCATGCCGCAAACAATTTCGAGTCAGAGTCAGGAATGGCAATCATTCCAGCAATGCCGACAAGCACCCCTTTGAACACAAGCACTGGCAACACTCAAGTAGATGGAACTGCCGCCGATATTGAAGTGAATGATGAAACTGACGACGACGCACAAGGGGATGAAGATGGTGGGCAATCAGAGATCGTGGTACCTCAGCCACCGTACATTGGGCAGAGATTTGAATCGTTCGAAGAAGCAAAGGAATACTACCAGACATATGCAAAGTTTCATGGATTTGCGGTCAACACCGAGTACTATAGGAAAATTAAGAAAACTAACGAGTACAACAGAGGTGAGATGAGGTGCCACAAGGCACGAAGGAACAAGAAGGGGAAAGGTGTTGCGCATGTTGTTCCGAAACAAAAGAGAGGTATCATTCCCAAGACTGAGTGCCCTGTCCGGTGTAAGCTAAACGTAGATGGAGCACAATGGGTGGTCAATGAATATTTTGACGAGCACAACCACCAACTCATAAAGAAGTTCGACCTGGTAAAATTTCTGACCGCCTACAGAGGGTTCACCCCCATCGAAAGGCAATTCGTAAAGCTGCTACATGATTGTAACGTCGGTCCATCAAGAATGGTACAGATACTATCTCTCATCCACAGCAAAAGGGGACTCTGAGTAGCATGTTGTACATACCAGCTGACGTCACAAACCTACAGGCCAAGTACCATAGAGAGAGCAAGTTGGCAGACATAGAGGCCACAATGGCCTACTTCGATGAGAAAGCGAAGGAAGATCCAGATTTCTTCTACAGGATAAGGTTGGACGATGAGGACCGTGTCAGGAACATGTATTGGGTGGATGGTGCTGCAAGGAGAGCCTACAAACATTTCCGAGATTGCATTTCATTCGACGCGACGTACCTCACCAATATGTACAAGATGCCATGTGCTCCGTTCATAGGAATAAATAACCACAATCAGTCGTTGCAGTTCGGCTGCGGGCTCGTCCGGAACGAAGACACGGATGGGTACATTTGGCTGTTCAAGACCTTCTTGGAGTGCATGGATGGACTTGCTCCGATGAACATAATAACAGACCAAGATTTCAGCATGCGTGCAGGCATAGAGGAGGTCTTTCCGTTGGCAGTGCACAGGCACTGCAGGTGGCACATTATAAAGAAGGCTGAGGAGACACTAGGACCGTTCTTTGCTGACCGTCCAGAGCTGCACAAGGCATTCGAGTTGTGCGTGGACCACAGCTTGACGGTGGAGGAGTTTGAATGGAGCTGGATGGCCATGACTGAAACACATCAAGTCCAAGACAACGAGACTCTTGTTAGCCTGTGGGAGAAGCGAATGTACTGGGTGCCGGCCTACTTCATGCAATGCTTCTTCCCCTTTCTACAGACTACGCAGCGTAGCGAGGGGTTCAATGCTGTTTTGAAGTGGTACGTCAGCCCTGGCAACTCATTGCTACAGTTTGCCAAGTAGTACACAGCTTTGCAACAAAAAATTCTGGGATCTGAGCTACAGCAAGAAGCGACCACGGCACTAAAGCAGCCAAAATTGCTAACGTATTTACCGATAGAGAGGCAAATGAGCAAGATATACACCAACAAGATCTTTAACAAGTAAGTCAGTTGCGTTACAGTCTTATTTGCAGAAAAAGCACCAAGTCAGTAGGTGCCTTATAGAGTGCAATGCAGTTGCCATGTTTAATGAAATACTGTTTGCCATGCTTACTCAGCTGCATGTTGCCATGTTCAATGAAAATTCTGTTTTGCCATGCTTGCTCGGGTGCATTTTCCTTGTTGAATGAAGTGCAGTTGCCATGTTTAATGCACTGTGCTTCCATTAGGGCATGTTGGCATGCAAATGCCAATGTCAACTGGAAAAAATGTTATATTGGCGACACATATGCTGAAATACAGTTGCCATGTTTAATAAAATGCATCTGCCATGTTTGTTGAAATGCAATTGCCATGTTTACTCAACTGTAGATGCCATGTTTAAATAAAAGGGCAGTTGCCATGTTTTATGCAATGTGCTTCCATTGGGGAATGTTGCTGTGGAAAAATGACGATGTCCAGTTGAAAATGTACTACAGTTGCCATGTCTAGTGTACTGCATTTGCCATGTCTAGTGTACTGCATTTGCCATGTTCAACGTACTATATTTGCCATGTTCAATGAACTATGTTTGCCATGTTCAAACAAAATGTATTTCTATTTCCATGATAGCATAAGGTGGTACAAGAAAAGAGCGCACGATAGTTTAACAGAAAACACACAAAACTTGCAGATTCCAGGAAGAAATAAAGCGTGCCAGCATGTTCACGGCTTTCCAGGTGGACGAACATACGTTCAAG